AGTTTCATGAACGTCTTAGTAATATGTATAGAATAAAAGGCTAAACTATTGAAATGGTTCTTTAGCTTCAGGCTACATGTTTTACTTACTTGTCATATTGCTTGAAATGCACATGCATATATACCTTATCGGATACTGTATCTTTAATACACATTTTATCACTCACCACTAACTATTAGCACCAAGACAGCTACTCCACTGCGTTCACGAAATATAAATATGTCTAAATGCTTAATACAATAAAATAGTCTTTGTTTATGAAATATGTCTAAATGTGTATTTTTGTATGCCACTACAGGACATTTTGGATAAAATGTTAACATATTCAATAATACACATTTGGACATTATGTCTAAATGCTTAATACAAAGGTGTAGTTTTTCATAAATATGTCTAAATGCTTAATACCATTTCAAGAGTATAATAAAATTCAAAATTTTACAAGACCGTGGTTAAAATCTGGTGGCTAAAGGCCGTTTTTGTTGTAGTGTGTTGTCCTCGACCAGGACGAGGACATAATGTCCATCATCAATCAAATTATAAATAGTCTTTCTGCTGTTTTTGCATGTCATATCTGTTTCAATTATGAAGGAACACAAAATGAATACTTCTAAATGCCGTTTTTGTAACTATCAAAATATATGAATAAAATAATATGATAATCCATTTGATACAAAAATATGTACTTACAACTTTTACAAATAAATATAATGTATTCATCTAGGGAGTTTAGGATTAAAAGTATACATAATTAATCAATTTAAATTTTATTAAATATTTATTTTTTACATGCATCTACAACACTTAGTTCTTTAATCCATCCCTATTTAATTGAACTTGGATGGGACAAAGGAAGTAAATAGTTAAGTATATATTTGAATTAGTTTATTTTGTATTTTAAAGTAAATTACAATTAAAATCCAACTGAAACACTTGAAGAGCCTTTCGGCCAACTGAGTTAAATAATGTTCATCTTCAACAAATTATTTGGTCGGCGATTATTTTTAAAGACAAAATACTTGCTGGAATTATTTCCATTCACTCAATATAAGCACACATTCCAACTCATGGGACCGAAAGAGGGGGTGTGGATTAGCTTTTGTTCCTCCCTAAACTTTTTTTTTTATTATTATATACATAAAATGGTATTTTTTTAATGATAATGGATTATTAGTGTTAATAATTAGCTCTTCCTTCACAAATATTTATAATAATTAATCCCTCTTATTAATTTTAATAATACTTGTAATTTTGACATTTTATTTTTTCCTCTCATCACAAAAAATTCTGGATTCGTCACTGGTTAAATAGACCAAAGCATGTCAGCAAAGAGTACTGCTAAAGTAAGGAATTTGTTCTTTCGTTGTCTGCAATTTTATTCACAATAGTCAATAAGAAATCTAATCCAAGAAATGCATGAGACTTTGAAATATCCTGCCACTTTTTGATAAATTTCTTTTTTGTCTAAGTTTTTCGATTTAACCGTTTGATTTATCAAACCTTTAGATCTGTTGATGTGATCTTTTAATCGAGTAAACTTTCGATTTAGATTATACAACTCCGAAACAACATACTGCAAGGATGCTCAAGTTGAATTGCTAATGTAGTTAAGGATTTGTTAGCAAAAACCAATGCACATAATAATCTTTTTCTGAAGGTTTAATTTGCCATTTCAAACTGTTCTGGATTAATATAATATATTAAGGGTTTAGTGAGTATCCTTCCAAAGGATACAAATTTATGTCTTTTTAGCATTTTTAATTATGTATTCCCGAGAATGCGTAGTTATAATGTTAAAGTTGTACATTTTTTCTCTGTTTTTAAGCTGCTGACGTGAAAAGTGAAAAAATACAACTTTAATATTATAACTATGCATTCTCGAGAATGCATAGTTAAAAACTGCTAAAAAGATATAAGTTTGTGTCTTTAAAAAGACACTTCTTTTTCACATATATTAAAGTCTTATACACCAAAAATCCAATAGGCCCACTCCTACATTTTCATCATGAAGAAAGCACATTCAAGAAAATTTCTCAGTCAACAATAGCTGCAATAATATTTTTCTGTTTTTTCACAACCTTATGTCAAGCCATCTACATTTATAATCAATAGGAAAATTTTGCTACCTCACCCATTTGTTGGGAATAGTCGTGGGATTCATCAAAGTTGATCATCCCTCCATTATAAATATCAATATTCGAAACACAATGTGATATCTTCGCATGAATATTTAAACCTATTTGAATAAATTCTAACTTGTACATCCCCCACTTTGTTTCCTTGAAAATCCAAGAAAAAGTTGCATCAAATCACAGACAAAGGAAAAGGTTTTGTTAGAATAGGTTTACCCACTTAATGTGATATCTCGCCTTGAAAAGATTAGTTTTCGATTGTCGGCTGGAGAATACTTTAGAAAACCAAAAACAAATCACGGACAAAGGAGCTTCATCAATCATGTTCACCTCAAAAATCTCAAAAATATTTAGTTTTGTTCACAAACTTCAACAAGTTACCAATTTAACATGTAGACAATGATTATTTCCAGCCAATAATTACATTTTGTAAAGAGGATGAGCCTAAGCAATAGTGAAATATTTATATCTTATTTTATTTTTTTATAAGCAAAAGGTTTTGGATTCGAATATAACAACAGTTGCTTTGTATTCTTACCCTCGCTAACTCGAAATTTAATGGGGAATTATTTTTTATTCATTATCGGTATTCCGTAACTTACATTGTGCACATAAATAATATTACATTCATATAACGAAAGTGTATCATTGTATTGAAAATTTTATGATAACATAACCCTCAAAGGTAGCTCAATTGGAAACTGAGCTTTCAAGAGTTTATTTGGGTCAGGACACATGAGAGTTGTATAATAGATCAGAAATGATCATCTTTTGGGCTTATCCATATCTACTTCAATTCCCTGGTTTTCTCCCAAAAATAAGGGAAGATTTAATTTTTTTTTTCCTCCTCATTCTCTCAGTAAGTGTAAATAAGGAATAACCCCTTTTGAAATTAAATAAAAATTTAAGGAGTCTGATTACCACAGTATTGCAATCGAATCTATCTCTTTCGCTCATACTTTTTAAGTTTATACTTTATATGGTTATGCATTTAATTTCGACACAACCAATTATTTCATATAATCTAGGCCCAAGACAATCCGTGGGAATATTGTACTTTATATTGCCTTCTGATCCATTTTGTTGTGGGATAATCATCAATAAGAATCTCCAGGGATAAAATTATTTGAATTCATTGATTATAGATAATACTTGTATGTTTAATAAATATAGTCAAGTGTCAAGTTAATTTTGAAAAATGTTAAAATGTAAGAGGGGTTGGTTATATTATCTACCACTTTAATCTTTTACTTTTATTTTATTACATTTTTCCATCATCAATTGGATTCAAATTAACACTTCGAAATACCGAAAAATTAAATAAATAATAATAATCATACCGACAGATCCCACACTTTTATTTCTCCCTTGTGTTTGGTACATGTTTTCATTTGGGTTTTATGGGGAAGTGTGGGTGGCAATTGAAAAATATCACGTTTGGAAAAAAGAAAATACCAGGTAAATAGAAAGTTTAGGAAATGAGTTTTGTGTTGTTTTTTTTTTTGTGAAATTAACTATTTCAAAATACCACTTTAGATGTGACATTTTTTTTTTTGGTAACTGATTCTAATTACCTCTTTGAGGCATTTTAGGATAGATAGGGAAGTGGATAAAGGAGCACCAAGTTGTGGACCGAGATGACCCTCACTTGTATGCGGTGGTTCTTTTAAAAAAATTTAATAACGGGAGTGTTTTGGTCAATTCAACCTATTTTTCCATCATTATTTTATATTCAACCAAACATAGACTTTGCAAATTTAAATAATTTTTTCCGGTAATATTTCGGTGAACCAAACATCTTTTTTTAAACTTTTTCAGCAAACTTACTTTCCTACTATTTTTTATTAATTATGATTCTCTGATAAAAAAAATATTTCCTCTACCAAACACCCCCTTGAGTCTAATGAGCTTGTTTCCTTTCCCAAGCCCTTGTGTTCAATTTTTCAGCCCAAAGTAGCTTGTAATATTGAGATGGGATAGCGAAAAAATTTAATATGAAAATGAAATTGTCATTATTTTGTTTTTAAAAAGCAATAATTAATTTTTTTTATTCACACGACATTCTCTCATTAATCATTATCCAGTAAGCCACGTATGACACGGGGGGAAAATTAACAATAAAGCGATGCCTTTATCCGAAATTAAGCAATTGGTCCATATTCTTCCGCAAAAGGCATATCTACCTTGATTAAATAAATTACAGATAAATTGGCAGCGATTAGAACAAGGTTAAGAATTCCTTTAAATACATGAGATAAACTGCAACTTCAACAACACCGAACACTCATTCACATATTGTTTGAACTATCCCTTTTATCATTCTCAAAATGACGTGGTTCATCAATCATTAAGCCATCAACACAGATTTTTTCGTCTTTTTCAGAAGGAAAACAAAGCCCTAATTACAACTAAAATCGAACCTATATAATATCATAGAATACTCCCCAAGACCGAACAGGGTAGACCTTTACCGAGCATGGTAAGGGATACAAAATATAAACAAAAAATTCCCCTTCAAGTGTGCAAAAATAGGGAATTTAAGTGTGAAAAGAAAATCAGTTATAAGCAAATAAGTGGGCATAGACTCATATCAGCTAACTTGAAACAAGCCACACTGTCATGACAATTCTGTGGACTTTGGTACGTGAAAGTACAGCTATTTCTAAAAACTGTTATCAATGATTTTTGCAGCAAGGATTCACAACTGCAACGGTAGGATACAGATCAAAATAATTGGATCATTCATTTGTATTTTACAGAGGGCTCACTCAACAATCATCAAGCTTGGAAGGATTTCAAACAATTTAGTCATTTCATCAAGTAAACATAAGCTTGAAGTCACAATTTAACATTCTACAAGATGCCGCAAGATGTCCAGAGAATAGCTAAGGTTAAAGGCTCACATACTGAAGACTCATCTTTCCTTAATTCCAGTAGGAATACCAACACATTATGAAACAAACCACCCCACAAATATTGACATTCATCTTCTAACTTTATATATTTTTTAATGCTGTGATTCTGACAATATCCTACGACTTAAGAGCAACTCAGTTTTAAGTTAAAGAATTACAGCAATGGTTCAGGCTTGTGATAATTTCAAGAGCAATTGAACATAGCAGAAGCTAGTTACGCATTAAAAAAAAAAAAAATTTAAGGTGCCGAATAGTCAGCCTTCACTTACTTTTTTTCCCCCTCCTTCTGAAGTTGTCTTTTTCCTTGAAGTTGCCTACTTGTGTTGGAAAAGAAAGTACTCCTATTACTACGAAAGTCTTCAAATAAAGTAGAGGAACTTTGACTAAACATAGAGGATCAACTAGAACAGAACCAATTTGAGGACCATGGGTAGTGGCCTCATATTTGCTCTGTCGTCCAACGTTCCATTGTGTAAATAGTGTGGGAATCTCCTCTTTCACAAGCTGCAACAGCCTCTGATGCTTTAAGTTTGACATCAGTTTGACCCACATTGGGTTTCATTGAAGGCATGGTTAAGTTTTGTAGCCCTAGGGGAATCACAATCAAAATTGGGTGGGCATGAATAATTTTCACACAAGCAGAGATGAAACCAACTTGAGCTATAAATATCAAAATTGTACGTACCATGTGTTCTTCCTACATGTCATGACGGACTGTCTATGTTCAGACGTGTCGTGTGGAGTTTCGGTGCACCATACAGGCCACCACTTTGTGTAATAGAGACATCACCTGTCCTTGAACCTTTAGTACTCTCATCCCTAATTATCAATTTCAACTCTGCTGAGTCCAGCCTCCTTTACCATACTTTCTCCCTCTGTTTCATGTACCCCATAATTTTCTACTATAAAATTTGTTTGCTTCATTTCTTGCATTCTTACAAGATCTGCGGTTCTGCCAGCAACTGCATAAATGCTAGAAATGAGCAGGGAATCTGTAGGATGCTCTGTATAAATGTTGTTTAGCACATCTTTCACACATTCCCCCAATTTAACATCTCCATAGACTCGGCAAGCAGAAAGCAGTGTACGCCACGCAGTAGCATCACCCTTAATTGGCAAGCTCTTGATTAGTTTATGTGCTTCATGTAGCATTCCTGCTCGACCCAAGAGATCAATAAGACATCCATAATGCTCAACCCGTAGTGAAAAGCCATATTCCTGAACCATGCGCTTAAAAATTTCCATCCCCTCAATTATAAGCCCTCCATGACTACACGCAGTCAGAATTGCCAAAAATGTGACTTCATTTGGTTTAAACCCCTCGTTCTCCATCCTATTAAAAAGTCTAATGGCATTCGTTGGCTGCCCATGAACTCCATGACCCGAAATCATGGCTGTCCAAGATTTCACATCTTTATCCTCCATCCTCTCAAATATCTCCATAGCCTCATCTAGAAAGCCACATTTCGCATACATATCAACAAGAGCTGTTCCAAGAACCGCATCCAGTTCTACTTTCTCCTCTTCAATGAAGCTAGTTATGTAACGAACTAGTTGTGTAGACCCGGATGCAGGACAAGCTGAAAGCAGCCCCGCCAAGGTAGAAGAATTAGGTTTCACTCCTTGAAGTCTCATTTGTTGTAGTAAAGCCATTGCTTCTCCAACCAGGCCATTTCTTGCATATTTGCCTATTAAACAGTTCCATAAGACAACATCCTTGTCAGCAAGGCCATCAAAAACTTTACGTGCCAAATAAATATGACCTGTCTTTGCATACAAATCAATCAATGCAGTAAGAACATTCAAATCAGAACTGAATCCAATTCGGATACAGTACCCATGAAGAGACTTCCCTACAACAAAGTTTCCTATATCACCAGCTGCTGACAAAAGACACAAGATAGTGGCAACACTGGCTTTAAGCCCACTCAAACACATCTTCCAGAACAAATCAAAAACCAAACTAGGTTGAGAAACAAAAAGATACCCGCCCATCAAAGTGTTGCACGACACCAAGTCATTTCCTTCGGGCAATTCATCAAATAGCTTATGGGCATCTTCAATTCTTCTGCAAACACAATAAAAATGCAAAAGGGTATTCTTCACATCAACAAATATCCTATTCCCAGACCTCACTGCAATACCATGGATCCCCTGGCCAACCCTAACCTCTGAAACTCGACCACAAGCTTTGAGCACGGTGATGAAAGAGAACTGGTCCAGCACAATTCCTCGATTCCTGAGTTCATTGAAAATGGGAAAAGCTTGATTGGGGGAATTGCTGATAGAATAGCCTCTAAGCATTGTATTGAACATGAAAAGATTTGGGTTTTGAATATAACTGAAAATGGAGGCTGCATAGTCCATATCAACGATTGAAGCTGCGAGGAGCTTGCTGAGAGTGAAAGGAACGTTTTCGAGAGCGGTCTTAACCATGTAGCCATGAATTTGATGGATTTCAGAGGTGCTTTTGCATGATTTCAATACAAGAGTGAGGTTTTGATGCAATGCATGTGACTGTGTACACAAAGAGAATGTTTTTGGTGTGGGACATAGCTGGAAACTGCGCCTCAGCCATAACGAGGCATTACCAAAATTCATGAATATGAAAGCCACAAATCTTCTTGCTTCGCCGCCGATAATCCCCAACACACGACGCACTCGCTCGCCAAAGACGCAACATCAACATTGAATTGCACTTTATTTGTATATATCTTGATCAATAATAAGGATTATATAAAATCTTAATTATTGATTTTAGTGTATTATATTGTTGTAATTTATTAAAAATTAATAATTAATTATTGAGTATAATCCAATAAATTATAAGTATTTGATACATAAAATTAATTATTAAGATTTATTGTAATATTTATTATTTTTATACAGATGTAAATTTATCATGTCTCAATTTTATTAATTGAATTTTTATTTAAAAAATTACAATTTTTTATAAGTTACTTACTTTATTTTAAAAAATAAAATAAAATAATCTAACACTACCTTATTAGTCCATGAGTTGTTAAACCGAATGCCAAGTCTTTCAAATATTAGTTTCAGTCACTTAAAAATTCATCTATTTCATATTAATTTCTAGATTTTTAAACGCAACACTAAGTCATAGCAATATTTAATATGTTTAGCAAGTTAGTCCTCAAGTCAAGTCTACTTATGTTAATGAAAGTGTCAACCTAATCTTGAGATGAGTAGATGACCACCAATAAGTATATCTTTCAACATAGCTAAGATGATGACATTTTGATAGAAATAAATTGGGTTTGGATTTATAATAATAACAACTTAAAATGCTACATCATAAAATCTGATGTAATATGTGAATTGGTTTTTAAAGTCCAAAAGAGAAAATATGAATACAGATTCATAACACGCCACATGGAATTAAAATTTTAAGACAGTAGCTGCATACGTGCTCTGGAAGTGCCATGAACTAAGATTCATCTTTCATGTCAAAACCTGAAATCATGGAATTATGTAGAGCAACTCATTCTCCAAATTCTGCGCTCATTAGATAGAGGGTTAGCTGTTTTTCCTGATCTAGCATCATTCCATGCTTTTGCAATTTTCTCTTCATTTCCTCATCCCCTTCATCGCACCTATTGTGCAATATTAGTTAAATGCATGGTAAAGGTTCTTAACATGAAATCCAACAATGAGATGACCAACCCCCCATGTAGGCTTGGTCAGAACCTTACATTTCTCTCGCATTATCTCCTTTTGCATTTTTGGTATTGCACATTGGTAGTTCTTCCCTATGAAGTACCGACACTTCAAAAATTCTAACGTGTCGTGTCCGACACTTCCCGACACTCCGACACTCTCCAACACTTCAACATGCGTTGTAGAAACTCAAAAAATGGTTCAAAGGTTGCGTTGCGTTGCATTTTTAGTTTCAACTATTAGATTCGTTGGATTATAATTACTATTTTATTGAGTTTAATATAAATATTTGAGATATCTTATGTTTCTTTGCAAAATTGATGGGTATTATAAGTTTAACTTTATTTTTTTATTAAATTATTGAATATTAAATATAATATACACTACATAAATAAAAAATATTATTTAATATCAAAACGTGTCCTAACGTGTCGAAATCTAACATTTTTTAAAATTAACGTATCAGAGTGTCGTGTCGTGTCACGTGTCCCGTGTCAGTATCGGTGCTACATAGGTTCTTCCCTTGAATATCATGGAACTTAACATCAAAGGACATTGGCTTAGATCAATCTTATGCTCTTCAACTCTCAAGAGAAAATTTCTGATGTCAACAAAAATATTGTACAAGGAATACAAACCCACCATGAACTTATGTTCCGTCAAAACAGAACCAGTTCAAATTTGGACTAAGTAAGGGGGTCTCTTTTAACGTTAAGATATCCTTCCTGGTATGGATGACCCCTAATCAGTTGGCCCATTAAGGCAGGCCGAAACCCCCTCATCTCATCCACGTCAGTCCCGCTAACTAAGGGTTACCAACCCTCCCTCCTTTCTGTCCCCACAGGACAATATCCTCAAAGTAAGACACCAAAATGTCTTACGTTGGGATACTACCTCCCTCGGATAGCCCGCAGACCCCCTAAATTGGAGCTTCTTCTCCACAGTTACAACAGCAGTGACTGCCACCAGCATAGCAGGAACTACATCGCTGTCAAGGCAGCAATGTTAGGCGCACATGGCACTCCTCAAGGAGAGTTGACCTGGCTCGCCCTCCCATGCGAGTAGGGCATCTTCTCCTCCTATATATACCCCTTCATCACCAGTCAAGGCAGATTCATCTTATGTACCGTTATCCTGTCAGTTTCTCAAACCCTTGCCTCAACACACACAAACACCACACCCCCCCTTCTTACAGAGTTGGACTTCACACCTGGGACATCGTCGTATAGATTGGTATCTACTTGTGTTAGCGACGATACCCATATAGAGATATCTATCCCCCTAAAGGAACATATTGGGCTTATAGCTCTCAACGATAAACTTAATAACTTAATATATAGATGTCTACTTGACAAAAGAAAGGCAACTAACATATTCAACATGCAACCCTTATAACATAAAAGAAACCCAACAGAGCTTTCAAAGCATAAACTTAATTTGAACCCAGAAATCATGTGCCAATTTCCTCTATGTAGTACACAAGTTACCTACCGAAATTCCAAACCCGTTAACAAACCAATAAAGGGTTGAGTTGAGTTGTTTCCTTTTTAGTCATACTTGATTAGTTAAACTGTTTTCATTTTTATGGATGTAAATAATTTCTTCACCTTATACAAATACTCAGTCACCATCATCACTATAAACCAATCTCTGGCCTAGATATGACTAATTAAAAATAAATGTTAAAGCTTGTCTATTTTGAGTGAAAACCTTATTTAATTTGTGAACGCGAGAAGAGACGAGACAGAGGGTAGGATTTGCAGTTTGCAAGTTCGCTTTGTAGTTACCAATAGGTTAATTGATGTTACTAATTATACCCAAGAACTGGTGTTAATTCATGCTCATATGACTTCAGTTTCAATGGGTTAAAAGAACCAAATTAAATTTATTTTTTACGACGGTTCTAGCAAAAAAAAAAAGTACTTGAGACACTTAAAACATGATTGCACATTCTCCATAAGGAAAAGAATGAAAAAGGTTTCCGCATTATCCCTCTGTTGTATCAACGCTTGAAAGCTACTACACGATTCAAGTTTTCAAATGATCGTGACAGTTTTATCACCATTGCCCCCTAAAATTTCAGCAAGGTCATGTTGAAGTTCTACATTGTTATAGATTGATCCAGTGCTACATATGCCTACAGATCAATAGAGACGTAAATAATAGAAAACATATCATGAACATAGAAAATAGACAAAATCACTTATATGTTCAATATAATTGAGCTATGAAACGATGTGTTAGCATCTTAGTAAAAGAAAGAGACACATAAATGGCATAACCTTAACAAAACAAGGATCGTTGATTCAGGGTCTATCATAAACGAGCACTTCACATGCTGAAGTTATATGCAAGGGACCCCTACTTGGGATACGTCTTATTATACTTTAATCAAATCACTAAAAGGCCAAAATGCTGCCACATCACTTGTTTGCATGAAGCACTTTCAAATCAGAAGGTTCAATTCTTCTATTCAATAACACAAATATTCTTGGTGGGATTCTTTTGAAAATTGCCTTTGTATTTTATGCCCAAAATAAAAGAAGGAATTCTTAATTTGGAGGGGTCAGCTTCAGAGTTTGAGGGGTTCATGTGCACCACGTTAGCTGATGTCAAAGAGCTAGACCAATCTCCATCACTTTCTGATATGGCTGAGGTTCCATTGTCCCCTCTTTAAGACAGAAGAAAAATAGAAGGTCTAAAAAGAGAAGAAAAATAATTATACAAATTAACCATTGGTTAAAGCACCTTTGAAAAAGGGGCAGCGATGACCCTATGCTGATGGTTAATTTGGCCTGGGGAATAAAGCAGGACTGCCCCATTGTCCTATTAAGGATAATAAAAAAACCTAAACAAAGACTTATCTTTGTAGAATATAATTATATTTTTATTATAAGGTAAGTTATTCTATCTACCTTTTTTTTCATACTTACCTTACTTACCACTCTCCAATATCATTAGATCAGAATCTCATCTAATCTTAACCATTTCTCTCTCCTTTTGAGATTTTAATGTAACGGTATTGAAAAATAGTAGATAAAGTAAGAATGAAAAAAAAGTAAGTAGAATAACCTATCACTTTCATTATAACGTATTTTTTTATTGACTTTATTCTAGAGCATACTCAAGATGGCAAAAGGGGCAAGAGAGAGAAGTTTAATAATAATCTTAGGACATGTAATTTTATATACAAATAGGAACAGTCACTGATTCCACCTTCCAAAATAGAGAACATTTCTTAACAACCAATAAGGTGATGAATGCATAAGGCAGAGATGGCTAGTCTCAATACTTTTGAGATGCATAGCCTCAACACTTTCTCCTCAAGCAGTTGCTCCTTTTTCTTCTTTAGATGAATGAAATTAAAAATTAGGAAGTATTTACTTTTGGTTACGTAAGTGTGTATGGTTAAACTCATTTAATAGTTGGTAACATGTCTTCCATTCAATTGTGATAATTTTAAGTTGTCATATACCAAGGATGCAAGATAGAAATAAAAGTGAAATTAACTTTAATTACATAATCAGCAACATACAAGATATATTTCGTTTTTTATAATTAAAGCAATTAAACTGAAACCAGAATTTATTCTTCTCTAACATCTTGCATTGAAAGAATGAGGTGGCTTTTGTCCCTTATCTACCTAAAATAAGCACAATTTCACGTCACCACCACATGCTTATTTGTTAGAATGTGACTAAAGGTGGGGTAAGTGAATGAAAGTATAGCCACTTGATGAAGATGTTGGGTAATCTTCCATTCTTCTTACATTGAATTCCTTTCTTTCTTTGCCGTATTGCTGATTTTTTTTGCCCAATCGTTTGGAAAGTGTGTTGGTTCTATTTTCTGCAAAATAGGGTACCATCAATGTTCAAACTTTGAGATTCTGGAAGTGCCTTTGTTTATGGGGTTGATCTCTTTTTAGACACTTGACGGAAGTAAAATCCCAACTGTACTTAATATATGGACATGAATTCCAAAGGATAGAAATATTCTTCACACAGAAAGTGTTGAAATCAGCACATACACAAACATCCAGTAGACCAAGCTTTGGTATTCCATTGGTGCTACCTGTTTCCCAGCAAATTTTGATTCAAAGAATATAATTAGATTGAAATTGGTCAATATGTACTAACTACCAATAGAAAAATAAAAAGGCAAGTTAATTACAAATTGGTCAATATTTAAATTACACACGTACCCTTCTTTACATTGATATGCAGTTATACACACTATCCAAATTGTCTATTATACAAATTCTCTTTCTATCATATAAGTTTTGTTATATGTTAAATAACTCTTGTAGTGGTGAAAAATAACTTTATATACATGTATATAATCTATGGTTTTACCTTTGTCCTAGTGCCAGAAGAGGCAAGAGAAATTGAAGCTGTCGAAGTTGATGCTGATGTGGTTGTAAGAGCAGACAACCCTACATTGTATGTCATAGATTCATCAGGCCGAAAGAGGCCATAGTTTCTTTCTGAGGTTGGTCCAGGCTTCATATCTTCATTGAACAATGCAAACAAGTACACTTCCAACCTCATTCTAGGACTCAGAGGTGTCCCTTCATTTGCCATTTGCCTTCTCAACAAGTTCCTGTTGTAAGTAGCAGCATTCTGTGGTGTGGCACCAACCTCATCAGAGTCTCCTTTTGAAGGCCAACCAGTCTCCGAGACCCTAACTTCTATCCCTTTGAAACCCATTCTAGCAATGGCAAATGCAACAGCATCTACCATAGCATAAAGCATATTATCATAGTGTAGATTGGTATAAGGGTCAACCATTCCTGCACTAGGATTAAATAACACATAGTCCAAAGAAATCCCATTGGGGTCATCCTTGTAAGCAAAATAAGGGTAGGCATTGATCCAAAAGGGAGTCTTAGTGCTTGACAAGAAGTTCAAGAACTGGTACATGATCCCAGAGATCTCACTTTTGAAACTACCAGATGAAGGAGGGTAAGATTGCTCAAGCACAGCTAAGGAACTAGGTGTTGAAACTTGGATGTTTGAGTAGCCTAACTGAGCTAGAGCATTATGAATGTTAACCACTGCTGGCACAAGATGTTGAAGAAGAGTGGTGTCATCATCAGTGAAGACCTCATTCCCAACTTGAATCCCCGTGATCTTTGTCTCAGGCAGGTACGGTATGATGTGGCTGTTTACCCAATCAAGTGCTTGTTGAGGATCATCCAATTGGCTTAGTATTTCGTTTTCCACAGTTACAATGATTTCAATGTTTGAATTAGCAAAAGCACTCAGAATCTGAGGATTGGTGTCGTAAATTCTTGTTTTTGTGAGCTTAATGGCGCTCAACAGTTCTAGGACTTTATCTGGCGGAGGCAAATTGTTAGCCACTTGGCCATAGTTGATTCCAAAAGATTCAACACCTCGAAAAAGTCCAATATCTGTGATTGCACAATGAACGAAATGTGTTAGTACAACTCAATATTGCTCAAGATATTAGAGCTAAAAAGTAAGAACGAAAATGCACCAAATGGAATGCAAAATATAAAAAAAAAAACAAGCATGGAAAACAGAACGAAACAGAACAAGTAGGGTACCTGCAGAGAGAAAAAATGCAAGGAAAATATAGCCAATAGCCATTGTTGGGATGCATGTTGCCATTGTGACAAAAGGAGAGACTATGAGATTGTACTATTCCAAAATGGCAAAGAGAGAGGATAGAATAGATATAGAGCTATTCTTTGCAATGGAATTCCTTTCTTTTCTTGTTTGAATAATTTGGAGGCAGTGAGGGACAATGTAAATGAGAGGATTTGTGTTTGGTTCGTTAGAGGGCATTAGCTTGCCTTAGCTGTATTGCATTTGCTATTACCCCCTCAAGGTCCTTTCAATTGGCTTGGTTTCCTCTTATATATATATATATATATATATATTCTTAACGCTGCATTCTTTTGGACTAGGTTGTCTCTTTCCAACCCACGTCAACTTCCAATTTTCCTTTTGACCTCAATGCCCTTTAGCCACTTTCTTCAAACAAAAGCAAAGAGAAATCCCACTAGTTGGTTAAATATTGGAGCCTCAGAGGCAAGTCATTGCAGGATCCCAAAATTTGAGGTAAGGTGAAAATTTAGTCGACCTTAATGATGAGAGATTCCATATTAAACTAATTTATCTCTATATGTACTTGTTTATTACACCACTTAGGATGGCACTCAGGAACCGTGTAGATATAGTGCTTTTGTGTGAAAAAAGCAAATAGGTCTGCTGGAGCTTACCCTTTTTGACTTGGAGATGCCTTCCATAATGAAAATTTTGAACAATTTTATGCAAATTGATCCTTTTCTTCTCAGTAAACAATCACACATCCATGTAAAATGTATTGAATCATTTTCAAACAAAAGCCTAGATCATGTCTCTGACCTCAGACATCCATTTAAATGACACACAACTTTTCATTGCAGATCGTATATCTTTCTCTGAAATGATAACTTTATTTGCTTTTGTATGATGGTTGAAATGTTTTGTTGAATATCAGGACTAGTGATTCTTCGATGAAATATTTTGATTTATGGATGTTTATCAGCTTATGCCACTGCTCTTTTCACATCGGGATAAGGGCTGATTATTATGGGATAAGACAACTTTTTAATGTGAATCCATTTTGTGCTGATTCTTTTTTTAATGTGGACGGAATGTTGAAAATTTTATGTTTTGATAGATAGCATATTGTAGTTTTATTGAAAGTATCGTTCAAGAAAGGTGTCAATATAGGTTTTGACACGCGGGTCGACCTGCGACACGACACGAAAATTCATGTTCGAGTTAATCCGCAAAAAAATTCGTGTCGTGTTCGTGTCGTAAAAAATGACACGTAAAAAATTCGTATCATGTTCGTGTTGACGTATTCGTGTTCTTGTGGACCCGTATTTTTTTTTAATTTTTTTTATTATTTTTTTAATTTTTTTTAGTATCGATCCATTTTGACCTCTATTTTACGTGTTATTTGTGTCGTATCGTGTCAGTGTTGAAGATTTTGACACGAATAAAAATTCGTCTCGTGTTAGTGTTAATGTATTCGTGTCGTGTCGACCCGTTTTGACACCCCTAAGAAGTAGAGGTATTAGTCAAGATTTTAAGGTGCCATACTATTATTTTATTATTTGAATTTTATTTTGATTTATGTATAATTTTTTATATTATTTAATTTTATTATTATATTATTAAAATAAATTAAATTATATAAATTTAGGAACGAATTATAGAGAAAACTAAATAAAATAATATTTTTTTGATAATATAATATATAAAGGTAATATGATTTGACACAAAAAACAAAGCATTAATCCTTATTTTATTTTTATTTTTTGGAAAATAGCATTAATCCTTATTTATATTGTATGGGAGATCCTAAAATAAGAAAATAAATAATTAAATTTAAGAAAATAATTTAGAGTAGTCTCAAATATAAAAGATGTGGAGTCGGATCAAAAATGATAATATTAAAAAAAAAAATCGTCAATATATACATATATATGCAGGTTATGTTTTAGAAGTAATGGTATTTGATTTATTTATTTTTCCCAACAACATACGCATAACATAGAAAGTGGCAAAAGGAATAGAGTTGTGTCAGCTTGCCTATATTTCTAGCTTTTAAGCTAAAATGAAAGGTTGATATAAATAGTTTGAACAGTAAGCAAAGGTAGTAAATAAATAAATAAAGCAAATATGCACGTGGGTTGGTTAAGGACGGAACCCAAGAAAATTGAAAAGCAAATCAACTTATATTAAGTTGGGTTGAGTTGATTTTAATTAAAAAAATATATATTGATGACTTAAACTGAACCGACCTGGTATGAAATTGGTTGGTTCGTTGAGTAGTTGGGTCATTTTTTTTTTTCTTTCCCTCAAGTAATACAACCGTAGGTCAAATTCAATGAAGGAAATTTATGTTAAAACTCACAATTTTCATTAGTTATTTAATTTATGATACTTTCTATTTTACACGAGAGAAAAAGGCTATAATATTAATATTAACCGGTTTTTAAATCATATTATATATGTATATATATGAGCTTATAATATAGACTATTTTTATTGGAATCTCTTTTAAATTTATCAAAATATTTTCAGACTTTCAAGTTGTGACTTATGATAGCAAATCATAAGTTAATGCTTAAAATCCTTTTCTCCACGTTAATTAGAGATCTTACAAGACTCATCTAGAGAATATAATGAACATGGATATGCAGCAAAGGATAATTATCTCTTATAACCTTTCCGATGCACAAGTATAAATATAGAGTATTAACGGAACAAGTATTTTTAAAGAAAAATACTTTAAATTAAAAAAAAAATTTTGATTATTATATAAATTAAAAAAAAATCAGAAAAATTTAATAATTTTCTCAAAAATTAAAAAAGTAACATTTAAAAATAATTTTAAAAATTTATAGCATAAAAGTACTTGGAAAAACTTATCTAAAGATCACACCATTAGATAAATCAGAAAAGGGGGAGAATCAATTAACGAATTAACGAAATGGATTAAAAGTAATTATGATAGTCTTAGGCATGGAAACAAAGATGAATCAGAATGCACATGGAATGACCTCGCACTTGAAGATGCACCTCTTTTTCTAAGACAAATTAAGAATTGGAAGTAGTAGGTTAGTAGTGACAAAGACATGGTGATTGTCAGCTAGTAGCTAGGCGTGAATCGACCATTAACAAAGTGTCTGGTGGTGGCTAAGGATCCGTGAAGGCTAAGGTTTAAACGGATGCTAGACGGAGTTTTTTTTTTTTTTTTTTTTTAATTTTGAAGATGTTCAAATGAGTGTGAAAACGAAATTTAGAAATTGTGTATAAAGTAAAAACGACATTATAATGTAATTGGCTGTTGTTTGAGATTTCTATTTAAAACAAACGAGTTTCTTATGTTACATAAGACAATTTTATCTTATGCAACACACAAAAAAATAATTTGGACCCGCTAAAGAGGAGAGAAAGAGAAAAAAAAAAGTGGATCCGACCGACTTTTTGTATGTGCATAAGATAAGATTATCTCATGTAACGTGAGATACATATTTCCCTTAAAACAATTATGGTATGTTTGGTACACAATATAAGATAAGACTTGATAGTATAAGACCTGATAATATAAGACCTGGTTATATTTTAATCTTATTCAGCGTTTGACATGATATTGTATAAGATAATATATTGTAAAAGATAATATCATCCAATGTTTGGTAATGCATTGTATAATACTATATAGGATAAAAATAAATATTTTTGACAAAAATACATTTTAATAATGAATTTATATAATTCTTTCAAAAATCAGATGATATTAATTTGTATAGAAATCTGTTGACCAGTGTGTCCAAAAATATTATTAATTTTTATAAAAATAAAAATCTCCGATATTTTAAAAATTTATGTATTGAAAAATTATTTTTTATTTTAATATATTAATATTAAAATAATATATTATTTCTTGATAATTGCATTGGTTAATACATCAATCACTTATCAGTCCTAATCTTATCTTCCTAGGCCTGATTAAGTTATACATCATTTTGATGTATAAAGGGATCATGTTGTATAAGCTTATACTATACGATAGTCACACCAAACAACTAAAAATATCATAACATATAATATAAGCTTATACTATCAGACCTTATATATACATTAACTTCACACACACCAGATCGAATTTACTGAGTTTTACCGGAACTGACCTAACAACCTAAACCAACCCGAAAATATGATGGTCGAGTTTATCTGAAGTTACGTGCAATGCTAATAAAGCTTGTCAATTAAAATTTACATGACACTAGTATATGCTAATCATCGCTCATAATTAAAGCGTCATTAAGCCAATTGATTAAAAATTTAATTAAACACATTGCCCAACATGTTGGTCCAAAAGAGATCCTGTATTTGGGTTCAAGCCAATTAATTACATTATTGTTTCATTTATCTTTTATTTAAATCTCAAAGAAGTAGAATTTGAGTCGGGAATTTATTAACATGATTAAATTCTCGATATAAACCCAATTATAGAGCTATTGCTTAATTTAGAGGAGTGGGAATACTTTCACGTGCATATATTGATGAGTAGAGCATGTTATTAAAAGTGTTAGAAATATATTGTAATTAGGATTTCCTTATTTCTTATGTAATTAGAGTTTCCTTATTTCTTTTGTATTAGGTTTGGGCTTAGCCCATTAGAGTGTCTATATATTGTACATTCTTCATCATATCAATATACACATACTGTTTATTTCAAATGTTCTTCTCTTCTCTCTCGTTATTTAACATGGTATCAAGAGCTTAAGGAACTTTGAAATTTTTTTTTCCGATGAACCCATTGTTCATCGTCTTTTAAATTTTTTTTCTGGAACTGTCGCGCTGTCAGTTTTCGGTACGTTTTCTTCCGCGTTTAAGGCTTTTGTCTACGTCAACCACCACCATCCGGTGGAGTTTTCCGGCGAACTGTATACCGACGTGCTCGTCTTGGAAGCACGAACTCAACGGCACCGGCCACACCCTCAACGGACCTCTCACGCGCCCTCACGCGCGCGTGCAAGATCCGGTCTTCTCCTCCACCAAGGCGGCGCGTGGGACCTCCTCTCCGGCCGCGGCTGGTTGTG